AGTTTTATGTGTCACATTTGGTTCAATTTCGTCGTTGGTGGAGTTCAGAATGCAATTTGATTGTAGGTGAACTATAAATCCCAAATGACAAAATCAATCAAACCCCCCCGCAATCCAATTTTGGGTATATTGGGTATTGGATTGTTGTAGGTTTTTCCAGGCAATATGGCTATGTTCTAGAGGCATTTTCTCCTGATGTTTCGCCTGCATCTATGGCAAGCATCCTCAGAGGTAGTGAGGTCTGTTGGAACTAGGAAAATGGGTTTATGTATCTGTGGAATGACCAGGGTGGGACAAAGGACTCTTGTCTGCTGGAGCTAGGTGTGAATGTTTCAACTGACCACCTTGATTAGCATTTAATGGCTTTTTATTGGGTATTTGTGCCCAACTTGGTCCAGTGAATGGAAATACATCCTGCTTATCAGATAATTGCATTACAATTAATAACAGGAGCAAAATTACAGTTATCAAATAGCAAAATAATGTTATGGTTGGGGGTCATCACAACATGAGGAAATGTATTAAGGGGTCGCAGCATTAGGAAGGTTGAGAAACACTGTCCTAGGGCAAGGTGTTGACAACTGTTGTTCAATCTCTGGGGCCACAAAAGTGCCACATATTAAGCCACAAGGTGCCAAAAATGCCAGATGTACCAGCCGAACTGCACTTGGGCCTATGCAGGAGCCAATGGGTGTTTTGCTTTGCTGGTGTTGAATAGGATTTAACCAGTTGTTTCCTCCTCCTCCTCCTCCTCCTCCTCCTCCTCTTCACTTTATTTACATCCCACCTTTCTCCCTCTGGGGACTTAAGGCGGCTAACAATGGAACACTTTAGTTTCCCTTTAAAACGAAGTGAATACAATTTTAAAAACCAATTGAATAGTACTGTGTCAAGTTATACAATTAAAATATAATAAATACACTTAAACTTCTTTTTAACATATTTAAATTTATGTCATCCTTTTGTCTCATACTTTCAAATTAAGTATCATGAATTAGTAACAAATCAACTCTATTCTTCCAAAATTGAGAATAAATAACTACTTGTGTAGATAATCCTGATACTATTTGAGCTGTATCAGAATAAGTGGGGGGGGGGGGGGGAAGTGGAAAAAATGATAGGGATATAGGTTGCAGGAAAAGACTAGAAGATGGGATCTGGCATCCCAACAATCTCTGAAATTTAAACGTGTTTTTTGTTTGTAAGTTGAAGTATCACATTTGACAGTAGGTAATATACATGAGTGAGAGAAGCTGGGTCTCAAACAAGTGGAATGTATAGGCATATATTAAGCTGCCAATGCTTTGAGAAGACTAAAACGTCTCTTTACATTTAAATCAAGTATGTCATCTTACTGTACATTTGAAAATGGTTCCAAAGTTCACAAGGAAGCATATTTTGCTTTCACACAAGGGTCTGACTGTACAACAACAAGGCCTCATTCATGGAATGTTACAGGAGGTTCAGTCCAGCCAATGTTATCTTCAATTTGCAGTCATCCTGTATTCACCCAGTTTTTTCTGTCTTATTAGAGAACAGCTGTTAAGAAAAAAGCTGGAATAGCTGCACAATGTCTTTAATTGGTAGAGCAAGAGACCTCTCTGGTAGGAAGTACCCATACTTTGACTTTAGGAAGGATTTAAACTGTTCCTTTTTATTTTTCTGGTGATGGAGATTACATCTAATTTGATGTATAGACAACTTGCAGAAGGCATTGATGGGAGCAGGAGAAAACAGAAACAGCTGTTTTAGGAAGCATACATAGGATGGTATCCTTGAAGTGAAGATTGACCTTGAAGGAATTGGGGGTGGTGACAGCCGACAGGGAGCTCTGGCGTGGACTGGTCCATGAAGTCACAAAGAGTCGGAAACGACTGAACGAATGAACAACAAACATAGGTTTTAAGAACCACAAAAAGAAAAGATAAGCCCACTTTTATTTACTACAATAAAGTTTGAAAACTTGGCTGAAATTCAAATATATGACATTAAGAACTTTAATCTTTACATTTAGAATGCTTAGACAAGCACAATCTGGTTTAACCTCATTTGCTTTTAAATCCGTGTTTCTCAACCTTCCTAATGTTGCGACCACTTTATACAGTTCCTCATGTTGTGGTGAACCTTAAGTATAAAATTATTTTTGTTGCTACTTCATAACTGTAATTTTGCTGCTGTTATGAATCATAATGTAAATATCTGATATGCAAGATGCATTTCCATTCACTGGACTAAATTTGGCACAAATACCCGATACGCCCAAATTTGAATACTAGTGGGATTGGTGGGGAGGGGTTTGATTTTGTCATTTGGGAGTTGTAGATGCTAGGATTTATAGTTCACCTACAATCAAGGCGCATTCAGAACTTCACCAATGATGGAATTGAACCAAACTTGGCACACAGAACTCCCATGACCAACAGAAAATACTGGAATGGTTTGATGGGCATTGACCTTGAGTTTTGGAGTTATAGTTCACCTACATACAGAGAACACTGTGAATTCAAACAATGAAGGCTCTGGACCAAACTTGGCACGAATCCTCAATATGCCCAAATGTGAACACTGGTGGAGTTTGGGGAAAATAGACCTTGACATTTGGGAGTTGTAGTTGGTAGGATTTATAGTTCATCTACAATCAAAGTGCATTCTGAACCCCATCAATGATAGAATTGGGCCAAACCTCCCACACAGAACCCCTATGACCAACAGAAAATACTGTGTTTTCCGATGGTCTTTGGTGGCCCCTCTGACACCCCACTCGAGACACCCCCCCCCCCGAGTCCCAACCCCAGGTTGAGAAACGCTGTTTTCAATGCTCTTCAAAAATCTGGTATATAGAATGCTCAAAACCTGAAACAGGTGTAAACAATAGGAGTGCTTGATCCGATTTGGGGCAGGTTAAAAATGTCATGGACTTACAAATATTGGGGCATACTTGATTATTAATTATCCAGAAAAAAACAAGATTGAAACTGAACAACATTAACTAGAGACCTTTTTTTCAGATTACAGGTAACACAATCATTTTTTAAAGAAAGTAAACCAAGTTGATAAACCAAGTCCTCAAAAAGTAGTATTTAAACTCCCTTATCATGATTATTTTTCAATTTTCTTTAACTGGTCTGTATTATAAAAGAATACTAAATTCAACAAACCAGGTCATTTCTGGACAAATGATTTCAAGTCAAGTTCTGAAGAAGAGATACAAGACTAAAAACAAATGTTGACCTCTGGATGTATTTCACATACCAAGTATTCCCTCATCTGAGGCAGAGGATTTTTTTTTATTCCAGTTTTTAAGAGTTTTTAAAACGACAATTGTAATGGGCAATATTTAAATTGGGGCAAATGGGGTATCTGCTGGTGGAAAGAACAGGAAGCCTGTGGTGGATAATGGTGTGGTCCCATTAAAACATGTTTACCCCCATTCAGTCGAAAGGCCGAACAGGGCATAGGGTTACAGCCTGTTCTTGACGGGGTCATACTCCCCCTGAAGGTGCAGGTTCGCAGCTTGGGAGTGATCCTGGACTCATCGCTGAGCCTGGAGCCCCAGGTTTCGGTGGTGGTCAGGGGAGCTTTTGCACAATTAAAACTTGTGTGCCAGCTGCGCCCATACCTTGGGAAGTCTGACTTGGCCACGGTGGTCCACGCTTTGGTTACATCCCGTTTAGATTACTGCAACACTCTCTACGTGGGGTTGCCTCTGAAGACTGCCCGGAAGCTTCAATTAGTCCAACGTGCAGCAGCCAGGTTACTAATGGGAGCAGGGTACAGGGAGCATACTCCTCCTCTGTTGCGCCAGCTCCACTGGCTGCCAGTCAGCTTCTGAGCACAATTCAAAGTGCTGGTCTTAACCTATAAAGCCCTAAACGGCTCCGGCCCAATTTACCTGTCTGAACGTATCCTCCCCTATGAGCCATCAAGATTACTAAGATCGTCTGGAAGGGCCCTGCTCTCAATCTCACCGGCCTCACAGGCGCGTCTGGTGGGGACGAGAGACAGGGCCTTCTTGGTGGTGGCCCTTCGACTCTGGAACTCCCTTCCACTGGAGATCAGAACTGCCCCTTCGATCTTAACGTTCAGGAAACAGGGGAAAACCTGGCTTTGGGGATTGGCATTCAACAAATGAGCCATGATCCTGTGATATGGATGGATGACGACGAATAATGACTTTGATGACGACTGACCACTGTAATCATATGATTGTATTTTTGCCATTTTAATTGTTTCAATGTTTTAATGTTTTAGTGTGATTTAGAAATATGATGTTTTAATGATGGTCTGTAATATTGATGTTGGAAACCGGCCCGAGTCCCTCGAATGGAGGTGAGAAGACTGGTATACAAAACTACCAAATAAATAATAAATAATAAATAAATAAAATTCACACATATGCCTTCCGCCCAGCTTTCTTTCCATTCTGGGTTGGAGAAGGAACCCTGTTTTCATCTTGGCTACCGGGGAAGGAAATAAAGGACTTAATGGGAAAACTTAGGTGATCTAAAATAATTTCAAAGTGAGAAAAATAAGTCAGATCACTTCAACATTCCTTTAGAAAGCTCTAGTAATTAGAACTGCTTTATTATTTTCTCTGCTTTAGGGAATGTGTGCTTGCCTGTTCTTGCATGTGAGTACATGACCCCCACCTTTCTTTAATTGGAGAAAAGATGCGCTATACTTCTATATTCGTCATCCAACATTCAGCAATCTGATAGCAAAAACTAGTTGATGGGAAAATTACTGGCAACATTCAGTCCCTATCTAAATTTGGAGGGGAAGAACAAAGGATGCATGTCCTACAATAATAGATAACTGTATCACCAGCAATCAGAATCAACACAGTGTCACCTGTGGGTTTATACACCAGGGGAAAGTGAAAATAATTCTAAACCAAGAAGGAAGAAAACTATTTTAGAGGATGCGATATGTTGCATTTCCTGTTCTTTAACCACAGGCAACAGTACTTCTCAATTCTCACAAGAAATGAATCAAAGAGATTTGTTTTTGATCTCTTAAATTTATATAACCAAAAATATGTCTACAATGTATTATCAAAGGCTTTTATGGCTGGAATCACTGGGTTTTTGTTTGTTTCCCGGGATGTAGGGCCATGCTCCAGAAGCATTCTTTCCTGACGTCTCCTGGCAACCTCTGAGGATGCCTGCCATAGATGCAAGCGAAACATCAGGAGAGAATGCTTCTGGAACATGGCTGTACAGCCCAGAAAATACAAAACAACCCAATATGGCTACAGTTTCTGGAGTCATTCTCTGACATGAATGTCTGCTCCCTTCACACTGGGCACAATGAGGAATAGTAAAACCGTAAGTCAACACAATTTGAGTGTCACTGCTTATTTACATTACAGAATCTTGTATAAATTAATTTCTTCAAGTGCTTCTCTATCAGCATCTTCTTCCAAGTATACATCATAATGCAATGGCACTGCTTCTACCCACTGATTCAGTTGAATATCCACCTAGGAAGGAATTAAAATAAAGTATTTTATACTTCAGAGCATATAAACTCAGTTAATGCAGTTTTTAAAAGGGATATTTAAATACAATATTGCTGCATTATGGGACAATCACACTGGCAACAAAGATCCGCCTAGTCAAAGCCATGGTATTCCCTGTAGTAACCTACGGATGTGAGAGCTGGACCTTAGGGAAGGCTGAGCGAAGGAAGATAGATGCTTTTGAGCTGTGGTGTTGGAGAAAAGTTCTGAGAGTGCCTTGGACTGCGAGAAGATCCAACCAGTCCATCCTCCAGGAAATAAAGCCCGACTGCTCACTGGAGGGAAGGATACTAGAGACAAAGTTGAAGTACTTTGGTCACATCATGAGGAGACAGCAAAGCCTAGAGAAGACAATTACGCTGGGGAAAGTGGAAGGTAAAAGGAAGAGGGGCCGACCAAGGGCTGGGGGTGGTGACGGCCGACAGAGAGCTCTGGCGTGGGCTGTCCATGAGGTCACGAAGAGCCAGAGATGACTGAACGAATGAACAACAAATGGGACAATGAAAGGCAATATCAGACAAAAGTTATGTCACCTGATTAATTCCTTTCATTTGATATTTGTAAGTAAAGGTACTATGAACTTGGTGAACTTAGCAATCAATACAGACACAATGTGTTGTCAAAGGCTTTCATGGCCAGAATCACTAGACTGCTGTGAGTTTTCCTGGCTTGTATGGCCATGTTCCAGTAGCAATCTCTCCTGACGTTTTGTCTACATCTATGGCAGGCATTCTCAGAGGTTGAGGGATCTGTTGGAAACTAGGTAAGTGAGGTTTATAAATCTCCAAGGTGGGAGAAAGAGCTCTTGTCTGCTTGAGGCAAGTGTGAATGTTGCAATTGGCTACCTTGATTAGCTTTGATCCCCCAGGCAACCAGCCAGGCTTTGAATCTGCAAGGCCATCAAATGCTAATCAAGGTGGCCAATTGCAACATTAACTTTGTCTCAAGCAGACAAGAGTTCTTTCTCCCACCCTGGACATTCCACAGATATATAAACCTCTCCTGCCTCGTTTCCAACATACCTCTCAACCTCTGAGGATGATTGCCATAGATGTGGGTGAAACATCAGGAGAGAATGCTTCTAGAACATGGCCATACAGACCAGAAAACTCACAGCAACCCAATACAGACACACACAGAGAACTGTTGTGGACACAGGTAGTTGATGCACAGACTTTCTTGATAAAAGACAGTTTTACAATGTGGTCAGAATCTGGCTAAAAAATTAAAAGGTATCACAATAGACAGAAATTCAACAGCAGCACATTATATTATAAAGATACCATTCTCTGGCAGCTATATAGATTTCCACTTTAAAGCTCAAAGGGTTGATTAAAATTCTTCAGTGTAAACAAAACCATTTTATGTATCGCCTAAAACTTCTGACTATTACTTCTACTAACGTATTCAGGCAACTGAGTAGTAGTTTAAGGCCATATCAAAAACACCAACAAAAAAGGCCAATTCAAAAACAAGTTAATGGTCTCTATTTACTTGAGAAATTCGTATAGTATGAAGAAGTCATACTTTTTACAACTAAAAACAACAGTACATAGCTAGAACTTGAAGCAGAGTGTGTTGTTGTTGTGTGTGTCATTGACAAGGCTTCTACTCCAGGCTGACTGGAGCTCTGAAAATGAATTGTACTCTTAGGGGCTTGGACAAACAAATGTCTACTCATAGGTTCTGCTTGTACCTACTGAGAACCTCCCTCTGCTTTCAAGTTTCAACATGAAGGGATCATTTATCTAAAATTCTCTGAACTGAGAAAATAACTCCATGTCCTTCAGGTTGCGGAGTGCTATTTATATGGACTGTAGCTGGCTATAAAGACATGAGCAAGGATGTTTGCTATGTGCTGCATTTGTAATTACTAGGTACATCACTCCATGGCTCTCTCATACCTAGAAATCAACTAAAATGTGTTTTTATTCTATTCCATTTACAGATACAAGACTATGACTACAGTTTCCGGAATTATTCCTTCTAACATAAAGGCCTATTCCCACACTAGGCACACTGAGAGCATAAGTCAACACAATTTGAGTGCCATTACATACGGTATTTACATTACAGAATTTATAAGTAAATTTCTTCAAGTGCTTTTCTATCAGCATCTTTTTCCAAGAACACATCATAGTGTAATGGCACTTCCTCTACCCACTAATGGTAATGATAGTTAAATTTTATTTCACAAACACAGCCAAAGGAAATGTTCTTTCACCAGTTCTGCTAACGTCATCAATATGGTTTATAGCTGGTAGATGTCACAGTTCTCTTCAGATGTAATCTGTTCTATTTCTCCAAACAGGATGAACAGCAGATTGCCAAGAAAAGTAAGAGAGATTGAAAAAAATCTAATACGGTGTTAATTCTGTGCTCCTCCCAAATATATTTGTGTGGATATATGAGTGTGTACTTGTAAAAGGAGATCTGGGAACAAGTAGACGAGACTGCAATATTTAAAACACCGATAGCTTATGCCCAAGGTCTGTATTTTTTTTTAAAAAGATGTTTAAAAGTCAACTATCCCACTTTGTAATAGGGGCACAAATTATGCACGTTTTAATTGGGGCTCAAATGCACCAGGAAATATGGTTTCACATAATTTTCAGGGATAATGCCAAAATGGCAGCAACTCTTCTATTAATGTGTTGGTTCGCTCACTTTTTTCGTCATAATTAAAATATATGCACTAGTTAATTGGGATGATGGTCTTTCATTACAATGGGAAATAAAAAAGACAAAAAGGGACCTTGCAGCAAAATGCTGCCATGTTTCTTAGGCCCCCAATAAAGACACTTGTCTAAAACTTTTGCCAATTTGGAATAAAAGACTTGCAAAACATTTTTGGGTTGCAGAAGACAGGGAGGCAGTTAAAACAAGTCAGTCCTGGTGCATAATTTCCTCCCCACACCTGATAGTATTAAAAATTTTCAGAACATAGCTCACATCTTCTTTTTGGGATGTTACACTCCTATTCTATTGTTGTGTATTCAAGTCATTATGCTTTGAAACAGGCAAAGGAGTGCATAGGTCTGGCTATGTTGACTACCTTGTGCATAGAAGGCCTAGATAGGCATGGGATAGTCATCTAATGCATATTTCATGAGCAGTTAGTCAGATGCACAAGATAGGATTGAGCAATTACTTTAATTAGCTACACAGAAATTATTACCTTATGACTGAGGGCTGGGAACCAGTCAGGAGAAATGAATACGCCAAGCAAAGAGAGACATGCCCTGAAGGTATACTCCAGATGTTATCCCCCAACTCACAAGTGTATTACAGGAAATTCTCACCTGAACTGGATTCATACAATGACAATCTCCCTATTAGTCACTGTGATTGCCCTTTGAATGCCCTTTTGTGGGTTTTTTGGTATAAAATGCATGATGGTACTTCTCTCTCTTTCAACTGCATCAAGACAGGAGCACTATTCATTTAATTTAATTTCTATGCCACATTTCTCCCCAGAGCAGGACACAAGGTGGCTTTCCAAAACAAGTGGACTGAGCATTAGACAGTGGCTCTGGAGACCAGGGTTAAAATCTCTGAACCTCAGAGGAAGGCAAAGGCAACTCCCCTTTCTAAACTCATCCTGCCAAGAAAACCCCATGATCAGTTTGCATGAAGGTCACTATAAATTGGAAACGATTTGAAAGCACTCAACAACAAAGATAGACCCAATAGGGATGGGAGGTCTCCTCCCATTCCCAACCCTCCAAATCTGGAACCTGTTGTTGGCTGCACGACTCTCAGAAAGCATAAGTGATCAAAGGTCTGCTTTCACAAAAATTCATATCTAACCTATTGGGTTCACCCCTTGAGAGATAATCATACTTTACCCTTTGTTTTTTGTGGTTTCAAGGAATGGTACAATCAGGATGGGAATTTCATGAAACTTGAAACCCATGTGTGAATTCATGAGGCTTGTGCCTTGTGCCTCAAGGACACCAAAATATTGTCGAAGGCTTTCATGGCTGGAATCACTAGGTTCTTGTGGGTTTTTTCGGGCTATATGGCCATGTTCTAGAGGCATTTCTCCTGATGTTTCGCCTGCATCTATGGCAAGCATCCTCAGAGGTGAGGTCTGCTGGAACTGGGAAGGGGTTTATATATCTGTGGAATGACCAGGGTGAGACAAAGGACTTTTGTCAGTTGGGCTAGCTGTGAATATTTCAACTGACCACCTTGATTAGCATACAATGGGCTGACTGTGCCTGGAGCAAACTCTTCTTGAAAAGTAATTAGAGGTCCCTGCCTGTTTCCTCTCTGCTGTTTTTGCTGCTGCAATTTTAGAATTTTTTAATACTGGTCGCCAGATCTTGTTCATTTTCATGGTTTCCTCTTTTCTGTTGAAATTGTCCACATGTTTGTGTATTTCAATAGCTTCACTGTGTAGTCTGACATGGTGGTTGTGAGAGTGGTCCAGCATTTTTGTGTTCTCAAATAAAATGCTGTGTCCAGGTTGGTTCATCGGGTGCTCTGCTATGGCTGATTTCTCTGGCTGAAGTAGTCTGCAGTGCCTTTCATGTTCCTTGATTCGTGTTTGGGCGCTGCGTTTGGTGGTCCCTATGTAGACTTGTCCACAGCTGCACGGTACACGGTAGACTTCTGCAGAGGTGAGAGGATCTATCTTGTCCTTTGCTGAACGTAGCATTTGCTGGATTTTCTTGGTGGGTTTGTAGATTGTTTGTATGTTGTGTTTGCTCATCAGCTTCCCTATGCGGTCAGTGGTTCCCTTGATGTATGGCAGGAACACTTTTCCTCTAGGTGGATCTTCATCTTTACTCTCGTGGCTTGTTCTTGGTCTTGCAGCTCTTCTGATGTCTGAGGTGGAGTATCCATTGGTCTGTAGAGCCCAGTTGAGGTGGTTCAGTTCATATTGAAGGAGGTGGGGTTCACAGATTCTTTTTGCACGGTCTGCTGAGGCTTTAATGGTGCTTCTTTTTTGACTTGGGTGATGGTTGGAGTTTTTATGTAGATATCTATCTGTGTGTGTGGGTTTTCTGTAAGCGGTGTGACCCAATTGTTGATCTGGTTTACGGATGACTAGGACATCTAGAAAAGGCAGTCTTCCTTCCTTTTCTTTTTCCATAGTGAACTGGATGTTTGGGTGGATGCTGTTAAGATGGTCCAGGAACCTGTTGAGTTCTTCTTCTCCATGGTGAAGGTGTCATCTTCTTCTCCATGGTGAAGGTGTCATCTTCTTCTCCTTCAAATGGTGAAGGTGTCATCCACATATCTGAACCATATAGTGGGCTTTTTGGTTGCTGTTTCAAGAGCTTGTTTTTCAAAGTGTTCCATGTAGAAGTTAGCTATGACTGGGCAGAGAGGGCTCCCTATAGCTACTCCATCTTTCTGTTCGTAGAATTCATTGTCCCACTGAAAGTAGCTGGTGGTGAGGCAATGGTGAAACAGAGCCGTGCTGTCTTCTGGGAACCTCTGATTGATGAGTGCCATGGTGTCTGCAACTGGGACCATGGTAAATAGAGACACCACATCGAAGCTGATCAGTTTGTCGTTGGTATTTAGCTTGAGATTGCTGATTTTTTCAATGAAGTGGGCTGAGTCCTTGATGTAGTGTGTTGTGAGCCCAATGTGGCTTTGTAACTGTGCAGCAAGGAATTTTGCTAGGTCGTACGTGGGGGATCCAATGGCACTCAAGATGGGTCTGAGTGGGGTGGAGTCCTTATGGATTTTTGGGAGTCCATAAAGCCTGGGTGGAAGGGCTTCCGATTTACATAGCTGCTGTCGTATGTCAAAGTTGATTGAGGAGTTCTTAATCAGCGTGTTGGTTTTTCTGGTTATTTTGGAAGTTGGGTCTTGCTTAAGTTTTCTGTATATAGTGGGGTCCAGGAGTTTTCTGATCTTCTCCTTGTATTGTTCTATATGCATGATTACTGTGGCATTCCCCTTGTTTGCTGGCAGAATGAGGATATCAGGATCTGAATTGAGGTCTCTAATGGCTTGTCTTTCCTTCCTTGTAATGTTACTGGAGGGGAGTTTTGCCTTTTTCAGGATCCTTGCTGCTTCCGCTCGTACTTCTTCTGCTTCTTCCTCTGGGAGGCGATAAATTGCTGATTCGACATTGGCAATGATGTTTTCTGTTGGGATCCTGGTGGCGGTTACAGCAAAGGTAGCCAATTGCAGCATTCATACTTGCCCCAAACAGACAAGAGTTCTTTCTCCCACCCTGGACATTCCACAGATATATGAACCCAATTTTCCTAGTTTCCAACAGACCTCACAGTCTCTGAGGATGCCTGGCATAGATGTGGGCGAAACATCAGGAGAGAATGCTTCTGGAACATGGCCATTCAGCCCAGAGAACTCACAGCAACCCAGTTATTCTGGCCATTAAAACATTCGCTAACACAATAGCTACATAGTTTGAAAAAAGTAAGTAATTTACCTGAAGGTCTGCAAGAGATTTCTCAAGGCTTGGGACTGTCACTAACAATGACCCCTTCTTTCTTACATTCTGATGGATGAATTCCCAGCATCTAGAATAAAACATGGTTAGATTTCGAATGAACTATTTAGTATGTAAAACAACACAACATGTTCCAGCAAGGTATAGCTCATATCTATCATGTGGTCTTCTGAGCCTGTGATCAAGATTTACAGATCTTTCTCACATACATTTCAAGAACAGTCTTGCAAGATCAAATGACAAATGAGAGGTCCCCTCCCCCAATAAAACAGAAAGCTGTAATGTTTAGAAGTCTAGTTTTGCCTTTTGAAGAATATAAAGCTATTGAATCTTCCACTGCTTATAAAATAGGTCAGAAGTTATATTCTTCTAGCAAATGCATCTGATCTCTGAGCTAATGTTTTGCTTAATAATAAATAATAATAATAATAATAATAATAATAATAATAATAATAATAAACTTTATTTATAACCCACTACCATCTCCCCAGAGGGGACTCGGGGCGGCTAACATGAGGCCAAGGTCATAATAATACAACATAATTAAACACACAATAACAAAAATACATCATAACAAAATATGAAAGTTAAAACCCTGGGCAAGATAAGGATAAAAGTGCATTTATAAGAGGGAGAAGTAGTGGGATTTGGCCTTTGTAGGAGATAGGGGAAGGTGCTTTATTCGGAGGGCAGCTACAGGTTAAAACGACCAGATGTGTTGAGTGGTCACTCTCCGAAGGCACATCGGAAGAGCCAGGTTTTTAGATCTTTCTTAAAAGCAGCTAGGTGGGGGCTTGCCTGATCTCCCTAGGTATTCGTTCCAAAAGCAGGGGGCCACAGCAGAGAAGGCCCTCTCCCTCGTTCCCACAAGTCAAGCCTGTGATAGGGAAAGGGGCGATTTAATGGGCTGACTTAAGAACATAATAAAAATAATATGTCTAGCCCATCAAAAACATGGGAAATGTTTCCACTGTGAATAATGCCACAACTCTTTACAGAAGTATGAAGATTTATGAAATTCAGGATGTTAAAAAGGAATCACTGGTTCAAGACAAATTGCTTAGCAAATGAAAAAAAGAGTGGTATCTTTGTGACAGCAAAGGTAACTACCTGTCTTTTCAAAAGAATACACAAAACAAGATGAACAATGACAAAGAAGGCAAATTAAGATTAGCCAAGGTATGCAAATACTTCATACTGCTGAGATCTGTCAAGAGCCAGAAGGATATATGTAAAAAAGGCAAGCCTTTTATAATAAAATATCCTTTTTTTGTAAATGTTTCAAGAAATAAAATTGCGAAACTGTCTTTTATTTATTTATTTATTTATTTCACGCATTTATACCCCGTCCTTCTCACCCCCAGAGGGCGGCTTTATAACAGGCAACCATTAAATGCTGAACATAATTTAAAATAAACAATCATAATTAAACAGCAGTTAAAAACAGTTATAAACATTTATTTAAAAATTCCCACCAATTCAGAAATCATGGTCCAAGGCCAGTTTATTACCAGTTGCATAAAATCATTCTCATTCAAATTGTTACATCTATTGCTCAAATTCTTGATGTAAAGAAATATCTCACATCTTTGTATCCCATAGCATAACAGACGGAATATTGGTTCCATTTCAAGGGTACTATTATATTATAGCTGCTCTTATCCAATTAATTTATCTGTGGTCATTACTCCAACGAGCTTTTTCTGTTCACATATGAAGAAAAACAAGTCATATCTTGAATAAAGTTCATGATGTGTATTTTTAAAAAATTCAATTCTGGCTTTTAAAAAACAGCTCAGGGCACATACAAAGCTTCTTTATTCTCCAAAATATATTCCTGTTTTTTGAAAACCAAGCTTACCTGGCTTGTTGTGATCTGTCCAGGAAATATTCAAATACATTATTCATTACCACAACATCAGCATTCTGAAGAAGTGAAGCCTGTGTACAAATGTCTGCATTAACCACCTAAAAGGAGTGAAAAATAATATTTGTTGCATGAAATACTGTTTGGTAATAATTTTCATCATCAAATTTGGAAGAAGTTACCTATTTTTATCTCTTCTGGCATTTTCTATCAGACTACGGCCCCTTTCACACAGTTGAATAAAATCCCACATTTTCTGCTTTGAACTGGAATATATAGCAATGTGGACTCAGATAACCCAGTTCAAAGCAGATATTGTGGGATTTTCTGCCTTGAGATTCTAGGATATATAACTGTGTGGAAGAGCCCTCTGTCTCATCCCTTAAAAATTCCATGACAAAATACTAGTACAGAGAAAGATTCCTATAAGTTTTTGATTGTTATGGAATTAAAAACTTAATAAATATTAGGTACAAAGCCATATATATTAGCAGAAGCAGAATGGGAGAGAAAACTCACAAACTTAACCAAATAATTAGGTAGTACAGGGGTGGGGAATGTGAGATGCCATTAGACTGCATATCCCATAAGCCCTATTCAAGGTTAGAGACATTGGAAACAGCAGACCATTAATATCTGGAGTGCTGCATGCTCCCTATCCAGGAACAGTAGTTAACCAGAGATGATCAAACAAAGTATAATCAATAAGGTGTGCAAATAACTATTGCAAAATCACAGAATCATAGAGTTGGAAGAGACCACGTGGGCCATCTAGTCCAACCCCCTACCATGTAGGAAAAGTACAAAGTACCTCTGACAGATTTCCATCCAGCCTCTGTTTTAAAGCCTCCAAAGAAGGAGCTTCTATCACACCCTAAGGCAGAGTTTGGCAGGCTAATGTTTTTTTAAGTTTACGTACACTGGCTTTGGCAAGACTATGGCTAAAAGAATTAGTTATTAACTGGAGACTTTTCACATCTCAACTCTTTACAGGCGTCAGACCACGCAAAAACTTCCAGTATCAAATCTTTCCTTCCTCTCTGAATATGGGCGTAAATCCTAACCATCCCTACAGATTTGTTGTGAAAATTGATTCAAGGCAATGGAAGTGAAATATTTTTGTGCTGCACAAATGAACGTTATCATTCTTCACTATTCCTCTTATGAATTAGGAAAAAAACTTTAATATTATCCTGCTAAATAAAAATGCAAATTACTACAGTAGCTAAATATTATGAATTTCCTTATCTGAAGTGATTGGGAGAGGACGTGTTCCATATTTTGTATTTTTTTGGATTGTGGAATGCTTACATATACATAATGAAATACTTTGGAAATAGGACACGAGTCTGAACATGAAAATCATATATATTTCATGTACACCTTATACACAAATCCTGAAGATAATTTTATACATAATATTTTAATTGTAATGGGAAAAAAGCTTGTATACACTGAGGCATCAGGAAGCAAAGTATTCGCTACCTCAGCCAAACTTGTGGACAATTTTGGATTTTTTAGTATATTGGAATTCTGGATAAGGGACACTCACTGTTTTATAATATTCCTCTGGACTCCTTTTAACATCAATACAGCATCGAGGATATTAAACAATTATTTTTGAATGACAAATTCAGCCAAATGGATATGAAAATTGTCTGCTGTTTTGTATGCATATGACAGAGATGGATCTTTAGCTTTAGGGGAAAAAACAATTCCTGGAACACAGATTTGCTAACCTGCAATCTCTCAGAAAATAAAAGAATCAAATGTGTTGTTTCACCTTCACTCTTTCAGAGAGCTGGTATTTTGCAATGATTGCTTCCTGCAACTGGCAAAAATCTGCATTCATTTCAACACCCCAGAGATGAGATGCTGAGCTATGAAAGTAGCCCTGAAGGAAAAAAGGAGAAAAGCTGACTGTGTGTGACTGTGTCAAATGAAAAGGTTAAGTTTTATTTATTTATTTATTTAGTGCATTTATTAACCGCCATTCTCAGCCCTCTCGGGCGACTCATGGCGGTGTACAGCATAAAAAGGCAATAT